AGTTTCTGCTTCTTGGCTCACCTAGGAAGTCTTGCAACTACACCGAAACTAATTAGTTTCTCCCCCGCAGGGCTTTTGGCCCTAATGCAGACATGTTGTTCGAAAACTACAAACGTACTGTAATTTACGGTACATCGCGCACTTGCACTTTCCAAGGACTTTGCTCTGAACACCGGGCGCCCAGAGAGCCCGGTGCGTAGTACTAGTACTAGTACTAGTTCCTTTACTAGTACTAGTACTAGTACTAGTACTAGTTGTCGTAGTTTTAGTCTGGTGTAGTGGTATTAGCCATCGTCATCATCGTCTTCTTCATCATCATCATTATCAGTATCATCATCATCATCATCCTCATGACCATCACCATCCCTCCTCATCCTCATCGTCATTCTGATCCTCATCCTCATCCTCATCCTCATCCTCATCCTCCTCCTCCTCATCCTCCTCCTCATCATCGTCATCCTCAGCACCATCATAATCTTCATCATCTTCATCATCAGCACTCGCAGTGCCAGCCAGGTATTGGAAGTAGTTGAATGGGCGCCGGTTGTTGTTTGGCGCCTTTTCAAAAGATGCCGACTGCAGCTCAAGCAAGTGGCATGCCGTGGCAGGTGGACGGATTTGACAAGCCAGCATCGTGCACGCACAAGGCCTCGGCGCAAACTGTCCAAGTGTGATGCTGATCTCTCTCACCAGTCTTCCTGGCAGAACTGGAGACACAAGTGCTTGAAGTACAAGCTTGGCACGCAGTGCGCGACACTGGAGCTGGACACAGGCAGAGATGCTTCGGTTGTGTTTTGGCGAGCCAGCACCGTCAAAGGGAAGGGAGCGAGTTTGTGATGTGTTTGGTACGGCAATGTACCAAAGCTGGTATGCTGCTGCCACCACCCAAGCAAGCCCCTAGCTCCCAAGGCTTGCTATACTGTGGGAAGCAGTCCGGAACCGGAGCCCCATATCTGGAATCCTCTGTGATCCTCTGTGCCACGCCGACAAACCTTTCTCTTCCCCCGTTCCAGGGGACGGCGCAAATGGATTGAACCCAGCAGTCCTGGACGCGCTCCAGGCTGGCCCAGTCTTTGGTGGCACGACCGTCACCACAAATCAGCGTAGTATTGAAGACACCCCCGGGGAGAACATCACTGAGTAGTGCCACCGCATGCTGCCGGTGCCACTTCCATGCAAAAACAGTGATGCACCTGTTAACAGCCTAATAACCTCAAACCATCCGAATGTATGAGAAAAGTGTTGCTACAGTGGTTCCCACAGAGCAACACGTCACAAACCAAGACCGAACCGCTTCTACAACCAGACACAGCTCAGCCTTACCCGAGCGACAGCAATGCCAGCATCAGCTTTAGCCTCGGAGGATACAGCGTGAATACCAGTCAGCAGCACTTTTGACAGCATGCATAGCTGCACCAAGTTCGGAAGGAAAAGTGTGACGATGTGTTCATGGACGGACAGAGAGCGGGCATGGAATTTTGTAGAAGTATAGAAGCCTGGGCACATTACATGGCCCAACGATAGGGCACGATGTTGCAGAAAACCACTCGTGCAGGATGCCATTATGGACCTTCAGGTAGCGTGGGAGATCGTGGAAGTCTGGGAGGGGCGTGATTTCAGCGGCAAGCAATTTAGTGTGGCACTCGTTACACACATAACATAAAGTTCAGCTGATTTCCGCGTGAGACGCCCGGCCAGTGTGCGAAAACCCGACTCGAGCTGCAGGACCGGAGCGACATCAGAGTCGTCATTCTGAAGTTGGGCTCTTGGCTCTTGTGCAAGTCACTGACGCTTCATGCCAGCTGGGCAGCTGAGCTTCCAGGTCAACAGGGAAATTCTTCAGCCAGGGCTTTGACCCCAAGCACCTTATGGCTGAGTCAACGATGTCGGATGAGGCCCAGATTCTTGCGTGTCCATCTTCTCTTTTCATTTTGCAGCGGACATTCACGTCAGGACATCATTGCGTTTCAGACACAGTTTGCTTGATCCCCAGCCGTGCTGGCATTGTGTCTTCGCTCGAGGCATCCTTACCCTCCCACAGTGCTGTGTGTATCGTTTCAGCTGAGGCAAAAATCCTTTACTTTCTGCAGAGGCAGGTCCAGTGAGTTTGCTGCTATCCTATCTGAGCTCAGGGTTCGGCTTCCATGGCTGCACCTGTAATGATAATGCTTGCATGCCGCTCGCCAGATTCTGCACTCAAACCATGTCAAGAGAGAGGGTCCAGCAAGCAGCACCTATGCAATCGTGCAGAATACGACCCCCCAACCTTGCTCAGACAAGAGCCTAGCCCAGCCATCTGTTCCAGCACTGTCTTGGGGCTTCGAAAGCCCCAAACTCATCCAACGGGCCTCGATGTCTCGGAGCCATGGGTGGCAAGCCGAGCAAAGTTCCGGGTGGGGCCATCTTGGCAATCAGGGAGATGAACCCAGATGGCCTCTGCTTCGACACCAACGGTCCCATGCGCTTCAAAGATATTTTCTACAAGGAGAGCGATGCATTGCCTTGTCCTGCAGCCTGCTCTGTTGTCTCACACTTCGCCTCAATCCCGATATGCCCTCAAAGGCATGTCATGTACGTATATCTGTATGTGCGTGTGTCTGTATGTACATGTGAATGGACGAGCTAACGAATGCATGTGTATGTATGTAGCATGCATGTCTGTCTGTCTGTTTGTCTGTCTGTTTGCTTGCTCGTTGGATTGATCGCTTGTTTATAGTATGTGCTGGCGCATATCTACGTACAAGTACGCAAGAACGAACGAACGAATGAATGAATACATGTTCATTGCGACCGCGCGGCGGGGGGAAAATTAAAGTCGTCCGGGCCACTCGCGGCGCTCGCGCCACTCGCCCACCCGTGCCACTCGCGCCACAGCTAGGCAACAGGAACGAGTGGACAGGTAACGCACAGAGCGAGTGGAACGATTGGAGCAAACTGATTCATTGGCGCCCCCAGAACAGTGCGACCGCGCAAGGGAGGGGGCGAGGAGTTGAGGTCGTCCGCGCCACTCGCGTCATTCGTGCCACGCGCCACTCGCCACTTGCACTGTAGACGAAAGGAATGAGTGGAGCAGGAATAATGTACAGGGCAAGTGGAGCGAGTGGCACCAGTGGAACGTGAGTGGAACGTCTGGAACGGTCGGAGCGAGTGGAACGACTGGAACGATCGAAGCGAGTGGAACGGTCGGAACGAGTGGAACAGACGTATGTATGTATGCATGCATGCATGTATGTATGTATGTATTTATGAAGGTACCTATGTATATGTACAGGTCGGTACATCTAGCTAGGCAGGTATGTAGACATGTAGACTGTAGATGTGTAGACATGTCGCGATGTAGGTATGTATGCATGAGTGCACACAGGTGAACATAGGCAGCGACAGCTTCAAATGATGGACAATCGTGTGAAACACTAGAAATATCCACGCTGCGTGACATACGACATCTTGTTCCATTTGCTCCCTTAGGCAGAACCGTGTCTGCATGTGTCGTGTCTGACACTGACTGGGTGTTCGAGTCTCTGAAACACCTGGCCCCAGAAGCGGAATCTTGAGCCGGGAGAACGTGAATTCCTGGTCGATGATGCGCAGATAGACAGGAAGAAGGCACACTGCTGTGGGTTTTCTGATAGTTTTTCAAAGGTCTGGGACCTGGGAAGTCTAGTTGGGGAGCGGAGGGCTTCAGGGCTGACTGTCAACAGGCAAGAATCTCAGTTTCGGGCTGTTCGCGGTGCTTCAGTGCATTTCTGGCCTTCAATCCCTAAACCGCATGCCTTCAGCATGACCTAGGCTGGTGAGCAGCTGCCTTTCCTGGGTCAAAAGATGGAGTGGGACGAGGAGAAGAAGGAGCTCGGAGCCCTAGTCCGTGTTCTCAGACGGGCTGTCGTGCTGGCGTCTGTTATGACAGCCATTCTGCGATCTTTCGTTGCTGCTATGGCTATGTCTTTTCGGTCCTGCTGGTTCCCTGACTGTTCCTGTTTGTTCTATGATGTTGGTTTTCTTTTTTCGGCATGTAAAACTGTATGTACGAATGACCTGTCATCTAGTGCAAAAAACTACGTGCATGTGCCATGATGCTACTACTGTTTTGCATGTTCTTGTTCTTGTTGTTATTACCATTTGTCATTTGTCCATCGCTGTGACTGTTTCCTCTGTGCTGGCCATGAAAGCTACTGAGAAAACGAAAAGAACCTACCAGATAAACCTGCCAGATAAGCTTCTCGTCACTGGTTTGTACTGGTTGTCGCAGCTGTTTGTTGCTGGCAGTGGCAAGCTCAAGTCCATTTGTCGTTGTCGTCGTCGCGGATCGTCATATTGAGCGGCAGCGCCAGTGTTAGTTTCACTGGACAGGCAATTTGAGTTTGATTAGATGTTGCTTGTGACGAAGCTTGGTCCCGCCACGCTCACTGGTCTTCTCCTGTGTATGGATTGGGCTCCTGACTCCTGGTGTCGCTCCTTCTGATGTTGCTCTACTTGCTCTTGTTGTGCTTTGTTGGCACACGCCACGGGTGTGTGGTGCATCTGAATTCAGAATGTTGCTCCTGTCATCCTCTGTCTCTTTTCATTTTGACATTTCATGTCATTTCCTGGAGGTACAAGCCCCTGGAGGGCAAGAAATGGGGCACCGTTGTCAAGGGCTACGACATGGGCAAATACCTGTGGGTAAGTGACTGGGCAGCTGAGGTTTCGGGTCTCAGGTCCTGGTAGGGTGTGAGCTCCGAAGCAGTGCCGGTGCAGTCTTCACAGGGCGATAGCGCTGGATGCTCAACAACGGATTACCTCCTGTTTGGTCTGCCATCTAGTACATCCCAAACTCTCTGAAAATCATGTCTACTTTGCCTTGCGACCTGTCTTGGCCGCACAAGCCCTTCCGCAGCCAAGAGCGCGAAAAGAAGTGGCTTCCAAAATTCTCTGGTGGCAAGCGTGTTCTTGCCCAGGACTGAGCCATGCTGATGATAAATCTGACATCTCTTGTCGAGACTGTCTCATTCAAGTTGTGTAAGACCGGAGTCAGGTCGAAGAGATTGCAGAGGTTCCGAAAGAGCCTTTCATCATCAAGTTCCCGCAGTGGCATCTTGGACGCAGGATAGACGATAGGTCGACGAGCCAACATGACATGGCCCTCGTTGACGTGTTCTCTGAAAGATACCAGGTGGTTTCCCCTGAAGAGATACAAGTCGCTCATGGTCTGGGAGGATCCGCATCGCTCGCTTGCAAGCCTTGGTCGAAATCAATTAGTTCTTGGCCGTTGGCTCAACTTGCTCCAAGTCTCCCGACCTTAGTCTTCCCCGGAATTTCTGCCATGGCCGGAACACAGCAAGGAAAAGAGACAGCCCTGTAGTGGACTGCAGAAGTCGGGCACAGATGGAAAAGAGCCCGGCTCCGAGCAGCCTTGGCCGCTCAAGGAGCCCTGTTTTAGAATATAGTATATGAAATAGTAGTATAGTGTGTAGTATGTTTTAGAATATAGTATATACTAGTAGTCTACAGTTCACTGGATCTGTCTGACTGCAGTATACCGTTCACCTTAGGGTTCAGGGTTTATGGATCGGACTCCGCTTTTGGAGAGCTATTGGAGGAGCAGCAGCTGGAGCAGCCTCCCCCCGCCCTCCGCTGCATTCGGGGAGGAGGCGGCGGTGCAGCTCCTTGAACGATGTGGCTGGGACGCTACGAAGGCGTCGACGGGTGCGGATCTTTGCTGGAGTTCGGAGGGTTGCAGCTCAGCAGCGCGCCGAGTGGTGGGAATGTGCAGACCACGTTCTGATGGAAGTTTGAGAGTGTCCACTCATCGGTTTCCCCAACTGGAACTCAAGAGGTGCAACCCAGAGCCAGGTTCGGAGCCGATGCCTCCAAGGCCTTTGGAGTGGTCTTGGCAGCCTGGCTGCCGGGTGTTGCCGAGCACGTTTTCACGCTCGCAAGCGGAGCCTTGTTGCACCACGAGTTCCGATGCCAAGGCAACGTTTACGAGATTGAGTGTGAGCTGAACGGACATCCAGCTGGGGCAATAGTGCGGCTTGTCGGCCATCTACAGTCTAAAGGCATCTTTGCGAGGTGGGCCATGCGCAAGTGCAAATCTTGCTGCTACCACCTGTTGTGTAGGAGGGGGTTAATGGACCCCAAGACCATCCTGGTTCAGCATAATCAGCAGCCCTCCTAAAACAAAAAAACATAATAATCAGCAAACCCACATAATCCTAAACCCTAAACCCTGACCCTAAACCCTAAAACCTCCCCCAAAAAAGAAATCTGGCCCAAGGAAGCTCATTGACTGGAGGGATGCCAGCGGGCCGTGGCTCCGCCGCGAGCTGAAGACCTACGAGGCCTCCCTTCTCTTTTGGCAGCTCCTCTCTTCACGTGGCATTCTCGTAACAATCAATATATATATATATACACAGTACTAAGGAGGATGTATTCAGTTCAGAGGAACCATAGCCAAAGTACGGACAGGAAAAAAAGAGCAAGACTAAGAATAATCATAGTGTTTTGAAAATTAGAATCACTAAGCCCTATAGACCCTGAAGCCTAAACTCTCCAACACTCCTGGCGAGGCACAGGCTTCCCCCGGGCCCTGGCAAAGGTGGAGGCCTTGTTCTATCAGACCTATGCACAGCGTCTTCGCGCCCTGGGTGCATGCTGCCCCGAGCTGTTGTTACTGGACAGGACATCTTGAGAATTCCTTAAACTCCCCCGCCAGGGTGCAAGTTGTCTGCTTTCAAGGCAAAGTCCTTTCCATATACATATGCATGGTGAAACACTCATACACTCACTCACTCACTTACTCACACTCACGCACTCAGTCAGTCAGTCAGTCAGTCAGTCAGTCACGCTGTCACTCATTGACTGATTGTTTCATTCATTCAGTCAGTGAGTCAGTCATGTACACATGTTCATGTATTTGCTTTGGCCCTTGATATGTGTACATGTATATACACCTATACATACATACGTATGTATAATTATGCCTGTTGATTAGGCTGTACACTACCTCTGACAGCACGCAAGCAAAGCACATGTATAGCTGCACCTTCATCCCTAAAGCCCTAAGCCCTAAACCTTAAGCCCCAAGCCCTAAGCCCTTAAACCCAAAAGCTCTGCTCCTTTCGGTTTGATTCGTACTGCTGTAATCTTGGCGCTGTTAAAACTAACACAATCCTAGGTCCCCCAATGTTTCTAATCAACTCTCAATTGCGGGCCCGGAACCGCGAAATCCCGGGGGGGAGGTTGTTGCATTAGGGGGGTTTAATGTTAGTGGGAAGGGATTAGTGCCATATACTATACTCGGCTTATATACCATATTCGGCTTATATACTGATCATACTACTATGATATACTATATTCGTTAGAGGGAAGGGACTACTAATTATACTATATTCGGCTTATATACTATACTACTATGATATACTATATTCGTTAGTGGGAAGGGATTACTATCATATACTATATTCGGCTTATGTACTATATTCGGCTTATAGACTATACTACTATGATATACTATATTCTGCTATATACACTACTACTACTACTACTACTACTACTACTACGGCCACTGCCACTGCCACTGCTACTGCTGCTGCTGCTACTACTACTACTATTATATGCTATATTCTATTATATACACTGTCTCAGAGAGCCCCTTGGAGCCCCTGAGGAGCGATCGGGCCCTCACTTTGGCCATCTCGAGGCTCCGCGGCGAGGCAGTGAGGTCGGAGTTGCTGCCTCTGTTTTGGACATGAAAAAGGATATAAAAGGATAGTACTTGTAGGAGTGGTTGGGATTTTTTCAATGAAAAGGATAGTAGTGAGGGTTTGGGATTTACGGTTATAGGGGTCTATTGATGTATTCAGGACCTTTACTTGCACCTGCCGTTGCTTTCAGCCCTCCGTCGTAGAAGATCCCTCCATTGCTCTGGAGGAAGTTGAGCCCAGCAGCGACGGATCAAGCCCTTCAATGGCTGGCTCGACTGCATGCAGAGTTCTGGGGAGTCCGTGCAGAGGCCGAATGTTGGAGTGATGGGAGCGCGTCGCATTTGCGAGCATCAGTCGGTCCAGCAGGTTCCAATCTTCAGCAGGAGTCTGCGATAGCGTTTTGCGCTAGGGCTGACGATCTCTGTTGCGATAGTGTTTTCGCATTGCGCAGAATGAGGCACTTCTGCCGATAGATTGTGTTCGCGCTGCTTCGGGCATTGTATCACAGGGCTCCGATTCAGGCAAAAACTCGACAGCCTCGTCTCGCAGACAACAGTCCAGAATCCAGATCCTGACAACATCAAGCCACTGAGATGTCGGAAGTCCTGAATCTTGCAGGCTGCTGTCGCAGCGGGTCTGCATGACGTGGGCTGTTTCTGGAGTCTGGACAACTGCCGGGATCAGCTCTCAAATCTCCCACAGGACGATCCCATGTTTGAACTGCGCGTGATTAGGGAGCCTGCAGCTTACTATTTACTATTGGAGCCCGAAGCATGATCACAGGTTCTGGAACATTCAGATTTTGAGGGCATTGAGTCTGCACGGGTTTAGGACATGTCTGTGCTGCATCTCCCCACAGGATGGCTTTGGCCAGAGGCTTCTCTTGGCAGCGGATGCCGTGGACGAACGGTTGAAACTGGAGCCGCAGAGCATCTGTCATGGCGACTGCAAAGGTGGGAGTTGATTGATGATCTTGTCTAGCATCCAGCGTTCACCCTGCTGAAGACTCGGTCGACCCTGTCAGCAGATCACAATATGTGCCTTCACGATGGCATCATCGGCATGTTCGACTTTCAGTGGACTGGAAAAGCATGCGTCGGAAAGGACATCGCCTACTGCCTCATATGCGCTTCAGGCAGTCGCTGGGTGAGTGCCAAGGGAGTCCATTAGCTGGCACCCGTAGACGTTGCGCACTCGTCGCGCTTGTCCCCCTGAGGCCAGCTGACTTCGGCTGACGAAGCTTCTTATTTGGCTACCTACCACCGGGCCTTGTCAGAGCAGCTCTCGATGAGACAGGAGCCTGCCCCAACGCTGGAGCAGGCGCTCTGAGTTCCGCGGAGTCTTCGCCTGATTTTTGGGGTGAATCGCAGGTCGCTGCTTGCTATCGCCTAGCGCTCCTGGATCTGGTGACCTGGCAGGGCAAATTCTCGGAATTATGTTGAACTCCTTGTACTTTTGATCATGAGGATTCTGATTTCAACTGTTTGCGTCAGTGTCGCGTGCTTCCGTTCTTGTCTGGTCGTGGGCTAGCTCGGCATGCCCGAACACCACCTGAGCTCAGGCGCGATGGATGGCCGGTTGCCCTTATGGTTGGTGGGGCCACGGGCGGGTTCTGAAACACGCAGCGGAGAAGGTGCTACGAACCCTGGACGGCGGGGAGGTCGCGGGTCACGAAAGGCATAGCTATGTCGCTGTATATACCTTAATCATGCCCTATCGTGGTACCAGCCGCGATTCTCTATATCATCAGATTCGTTACGTGAATAATTGCACTCGCATCCATCGCTCAGTTGTACACGTAATGTGTGATTGCATGGCTGCATAGATGCATGTAAGTATGTGCACATGTTCGTGTGGATGCGATGACTTTGGCATTGCTGGTGTTACATAGCACATCTTATCAAGTCTTACGCAATCAAACACAACCCCGATACATTGCAAGCTTTCATGTATCACAGCTGTACGTTCGTTTCAATCTCCTTCAACCCACTACTCGTTGCTGCCAGATCTTGAGCTCCGCTGATGACTACCGCGCGGCCTTGTGGCGTGAGTTCCCCCGACACGGCGAATGCGAAATAGAGAGTCAAAAGAGCCGCCGGGAGCCCCAACGCCCAAGGTCTGAACCCCAGAGGCCCCACTTAGATCTTCGATCATCCGATCATGCGCCGAGAGGAGACGGATGCCTGTCCCAAAGGCAAAGTCCGCATGATCTATTCTGGCGGGAAGTCCAACCAGAATGGCATGAGCCGCTCAGAATCAGCACAGACTCTCGCAAGGAAGCCTCAAAGGCCAGGAAGAGGCGCTTATTTTTTGTCGGAAAAGGTAACGGGCCAGAGGATGAGTCCGGCGCCAGCGCGCACCCTGGCCTGGAACAATGTTTGAGTACTGGTCCGGATTTTGATTCGATTGATTCGATTGATCAAAATCTCTCGAGCTCCGGGCAGACCTTGGCTTTCGGGCTCGATGCTGTTCTATGATGGCACTGTGCATCAGGCCTGTGCACACCTACCACGCAATCAAAAGATCCTCGGCGAAAGATTCAGGCATTAAGGGAGGAAAAAAGGGGGCTTTTGCATGCGGGGTGCCGCCGAGACACCGACCTTGCCAGCTCCAAGAAGTACCAGGAGGCCCGCTTTTGTGGCGCGAAAGACAGAGAGAAGGAGACTCGATGACAGCAGACTCTCAGGAGCTGCTTCCGTGTTTCCTGAGGCTGCCAAAAAGGCCCTCTGCGAGGTACCACCGGTCAGGCTGAAGTGCGAAGGCGGGAAGATGCCCAAGTGCCTCTTGATTGCAACGTTGCTTCATGATCGCCGGAAGCTCTTGTGGAGGGTTTCTTTACTGCGTGCCATCGGCCTTTCTTGTGCAGTGTACGGCTTTGATTCTATAGATTTTCTGCATTATCTTCTAGTATACACTGTACCCTTGTGCCCGCCGAGATCCTGCCCCTAAAGATGAGCGATGCTGAATGGTGGCAGGTTTTGTTCTCAGGTTCGTGAGTCGAGCGTTCAAGCGTTGAAGAGCGAGGGATTGGCAGGGCAGAACGTTTCGTTCCAGAGATTGCATGTGTCGTTCTGGCACGGTGATAGTTGGCAATGACGACAGGCCACGGCAGGTCGCACGACACGGCCAAGCACCGACGCGGTCATGCCATGCCGGCGTAAAGCGGCAAGTCAGGGAACGTCCCGGCAGGTCATTCAAGAGCTTCAAGACTTGTTCAAGAGTCTAACAGAGGCGCCGCGTGTGTCTGCGGGCGCTGCACTGCGACCTAAGAGCCGAAGCTATTGGCGCTGTTGTGCTTGCCCTCGCCTGTTGCGGTTCGAGGGATGCGCGCGTTTTGCTTTATAACTTCCTCCGTGCGCTTTGTTGCACAAGCCGCGGATGTTTGTGGAAGTCAGCCAGCTGGGAGGGGGAGGAGGGGATGGGCCATCGGATGCGTGTGGGTCTTTCTGGTTTTTGCAGGACGCGGTGGGTACTCGTTGTAAGCTGTACTGTGATCGGTTCGGTGGGTTCCGAAAGGGGTCAAACCGTGTTCGCTGTCATTACAAGCGCATCTTTTCGTTTCGTTGCAGGCGGAGAGCCTTTTCTCATCTTCTTAACTCACCATGTTCTAGAACTAAGTTGACCCGTTTTGCTCATGGAACCTACATCAGTAATCTGTCTGGCCTGCCTCACCATGTTTATACTGAATCTCAGGCTATGATGCTGTGGGGACCTCAAGAGTCTGAGCTGCTGCAAGTTGTCGCAATCACCGGTAGAGCAGCATAGGGCCCAAGTGGCCACACGATTACACGGATCTGTCCATACAATCAGGACTGGAAACCACCGGCCAGTGGCTTAGGGTCAGAGATGCTTTTCGCAGCGCTTGTTGTCTGCTAACGGCTTCAGTGAGTCCGCTGACACTGAGCCCGAGCCGCCGAAGCCGAAGTTTCGCTTCTGCTCCTTCCTAAACCCAACGCCGCCAAAGCCGACGCGGCAGCCTGGCTTTCGGATCTGTAGAGTTCCATGAGGACTTCAGGTTCAGGGCCCTTCAGGCCGGAAGGGAAGCATTCGGGTGGAGTGAATCCTCCCGGAGGCTTCTCGTAGGCACTGGTTGCCTTCCCAGGGCTGGTTCCCGCCATCCAACAAGTAGCTTGCGAATCAACCTCAGATGTGCATGGTGCGATCAAGCCCCGAACCCCCTGACAAAAACGTGAATCATTGCTAAGCCCTGGCCTACGTACCTCCAAGGCCCACTGTGGTCACTTTCCAGATCGCCAAACAATCGGTGGGCGGCGTCTGCAAGAAAGACGAGCCTGAGCCGGGGGCTGGCGTAGACGAGGCAGGGCCGAACACCATTCTACTCGTAGCACTATATACTGGGCCAGTCTGCAATATATAATACATATGACATATGTAGCAATGTAGCACGTATGTGTGCGTATGCATAGTATACATGTATCTACAGGTACATCCTTCACCGAAAGACAGGAAGACATGTCCCTAGTCGCATCCTTGCTGGGCAGGATCCGCAGGAAGAGCGGGCGGGGTGACAGCGGCAAGCCCGCCATCGAAGAAGCCCTGTGCTTGCAGGGTCTGCTGCGCATGCGTTGCGGCCACAGAAAAGGTGCGGTGCGGAACAGAGCTGTGGTACTCCGAAGGTAGACCAGCGATGCTGCGGGGTGTGCCAGGTTTATCCATGCCTGTGTTGCACACCTACACAGGTTCATGGGTCTTGAACTTCCCGCGATACTTCGGAAGGCTGCAGCAGCTGACGGTCGCGCTGATCCAGGGAACGGCCATGGGAGCAGGGAGCCTTGAACTCTTTCTGACATGGCAAGGGTAGTGGCAAAGGCCGTAGTGGTCACAGCTGCAGTCAGCTCAGAAAAGAGTCCATGACAAGCGCACACTGTTCGACAGTCGAACACGTCAGTGCAGGGCTGGAGTTGTCGGAATGTCGGCCTGTGCAGGGTTCAGGGTGCTATAAGATGCTCCGGGCCGAGGCTGGCATCGGCCTCGTGTGTGCTTGCGACTATGTGATCTCCGTGAAGAGCCCGGGGTCCCGTCAAACTTCATCACCCTGTGAAGTCTCACCTTCTGACGAGCTCCACCAAAAGGGCTCCTCAAGCGACGCGTCAGGTGCATTCTTCACGATGAGCGAAACCAAGCTAGGAGCTGTGCGCCCCCCGGGTGTTGGCTGCTTTCCACGGACATTATAGCAGTAGCAATGATGATTACCAAAATGCGTATTGCCTGTACTATAAAGTATGTTCAACATGGTTTGATTGATAGCGGTATGAGTTGAGTTGATACGCTAGTACTTGTACTTCTTATTTCTCTTGTCGTTGTCGGCATTGTCGTTGTTGTCGTTGTGGTCGTTGTCGTTGTTATTGTTAGCATTGTTGTTGTGGTTGTGGTTGCTGTTGTTGGTGTTGTTGTTGTTGTTGTTGCTGCTGCTGTTGTAGCCGCTACGGATCAGACGGCCGTGCAGTTAGCGGGGCCTTTCGAACAGGCTACGGCTACGGGCTCCAACTTTTTTCCTAGGGTCCTAAAGGCTTCAACCGGGCCCTCTCGTGACCTTAAGGGTTGTGCCCAACGTTGGAGCCATGTGCCTCCTGGTGTGCTGCTGGGCCCAGATACTGTCTACGGCATCGTTTACTGCATGGGTAAGCGGTAGGGTTTCCCCCTGGAATGCAGGACGTCTAGGCCAACAGCCGTGGACAGAGCTTACAGCAAGAATTCAAACAGACTGACAAAGCAGCAACAGATTCTCGCCTGCGATTTTGCGGACTTCTTCGATTCTTGGGGTACCCTGTCAAACTTTGTTGGCGATGGGGTGCTTTCTAGTGGCATCTCGACCACCCTTTCCGGAGTCTTTGGCAACTCCAATGGAAGTGGGCTCGACCCAGTGAAGGGGCTTTGCCCAGAAACCGGAAAGTTCTGGCTCGGCCCAGCGCCTTGGTGCGGCTTCACGTCACATCTGTGTACAATCGTTAAGCGGACGCGTTTGCTGTGCCATGGGTGAGCGTGCTTCGGCTACGGCCCTGCAAGTTGGGCTGAACACAGTAGTGAGTGCTTTGGTGAGGCAATACGATCGCCATGCGCAGCCCGCTCCCGCAGTGTCCAATTGAACTTTAATTGTAATTGTAATTGTTGTTGTGGTGGTTGTTGTTGTTGTCGTTGCTGTTGCTGTTCTTGTTGCTGCTGCTGCTGCTGCTGTTGTTGTTGTTGTTGTTCTTGTTGTTGTTGTGGTGATATTCGCGTTCCTAGCCAAGGTTCCTGCCACTGCCTTGCCCTACATCACCAGGTCGGGGTGAGTACGCAAGTGCCAGCACGGCTGGTAAGTGACTTGAACGTGTAAGTGCGGGAAGTTGTGAACCATGTTCAGAATTGCACAATGCGCAGGCGGTGTACCTTCATTAAGAATGTGCCCGGGACTCGGTCGACCGTAGCCAACATCGCATCTTAAGCGCAAGGGTTTGCTTCCATAGTTGCCTGAGTCCTTGAGTACGTAGCCCAGGCTCACGAGTTTCGGACCACACAGCCGAAGTACACAGAAACATAAGATCTGGTAAACATGCTGCAAAAGCCACACGATTAATTGACAGCACATGCAATCGCAGCTGCAAAAACAGAAAACTGTGTTGTCGCATTCCCGTGGTCACTGCATTGTTCGTGCGACTTGATGTGCTTCCATCTCCAGAATCCATGAGAGCGACGTGAGAGCAGTTGCAGAGCTTCGGATCCGAGGTATCAGCTCGTCCTTGCCGGGGCGAACTTGTCATCAGAGATAGCCGAGGATTTTGCATACTTTCGGAGATTGCAGGGTTGGTCACCGGGTACTGCCGTGCGTCGTCGAGCTGATTCAGTCTACCAGTAGCTTTCGAGGAGTATGGTTTCGTCGACAAGGTGGTCGACGAAGTCAAAGACCTTGAGGCACAGCGGCAAAGGGTTTTTCTAAGCAGGACTTTTAGTGTGCATCCTCTGATTAAGGCCCGCGGATTACAAGAAGGCAGAATCCACGAACCTTGCTGGTTTCAGTCTTCTCCGCAGTTAGTATGAATGTGCCTTTGCCGCTTCAAAGGGCTGTGGGCTATCGGTTTGGGATGAAAGGCTCCAGGCTTGGTGGACTGAATTAGTTAAGTTGTGCACCCACATTTCAATGCTTCCGTAGTGTTCACAGGAATCGATCAGCATGCCTGAGCAGTTCGTCATGCGTTCCCGTTTCTAGACTTGCTCTCTGTGCAGACCGAGTGCCAAGCTGTTTGTGACCGAATGACGCTTTGCGCACCTGGAGCTGTGGCGGGGCACCAAGACATTTGATCATTTCCTTTTTTCGCAGGATGGGTATGACGGCATGACCTCAGTGAAGAAGCGGGCACTGTAGAATATCTCAACCTCAGTTTGTGGCTGCATTCGTGTTTGAGATGATTTCTGGGACAGAGGGTCCTACAAGCCTCGCCACAAGGCTGCCACCAAAGACGTGGTCATGAACACGGCAGTTGGCCCAGAGCTGTACTGGTGTCTGAACCATGGACCGTGAAGACCAAAATCAAGACAGCTCCAAATGCTACTACGTGCCACAAGTGGAGCTCGTAACCTTTCACTTGTTGACAGTTATGCCAGTTCTTGCCGTACATGGGAGCCGGATATCTCGCAGCCCCGCAGCCAAGGTCGGTGTGCCCCCATCTTCCTTCATGTGCCGCCCAGAATTGCAAGTAGAAGGGGGTTCTGTGGTCTCACGAGACTGCATGGTTGCTTGTGTCGCTAGCCATGCACTCTATCACCCAGCAACCACGCTTAGACAAATGCCAACGGAGGCTCAATGCTTCTGGGCAGTCCTTGGGTTTTTGTTTTTGGTTGTTGGGTCACGCTTTCATTGAAGCCCCAGCTTCCCCGTTTCGCGGTGAGGTGGAGCTTAGCTTTCTGTGGTCTTCCGATTCCGTGTTCAACACCGCATGCGTTTAAAAGCGATTTCCAGCATGCGCTCAACAATGTGAGCATCACAACCTCGAACCTGTCAGCAAGCCTCGTCTACAGCCCATTCAGACGGCGTGTGTGGAATTCGCTCACGGCGAGAGGAGAGCGGCGAAACATGAGAATGGTTGGCCGCGAACGGTCTCAAACAAGAGCCGCTTCGCAACGGTGGACCCCAACCCGAAATGCAGAAACAACAAACGGTCAAACGCTCAACGGCGACGGCAGCGTTTGGAGTCCTGAATGCCGAGCCGAACCCTGAGATTGAATGCTGTGATGACTCAGCTGCCATGCCACCGGATTGCCTGTTCAATTCCACTGGCCCATTCCGTTGATGTGCATTGCCAGGATGAACTACGTGGCAGGAATCGTTGCGGACATCCGCGCAGGCAGGCTTCAGTGCACGATGTCTTCCGAGCGTTAGACAGGGACTGCAACTGATTTGATCAGTGGAGGCAAGCGAACAAATGGATTAGCGTGAGTAGCTTGTTAGCAGTGGCACTGAGAAGCTGGCAAGCCAACTAGATAGTCAGATAGTCAATCCTTTTAGTTGATATGTTAACTGGTTGGTGGGTGCTGTGTGTTCTTCGAATGTGGCCGGGATGGCTGCTTGATTCAGTCAGCTTCTGGTAAGCTCCAGCATCAAGGGCCGGTCTGGTAACCGTAAGAAAGAACACACATCTGCACCTGTCTTTGTTGATAAGCGCATGGGTAAGCGTACGTCATCTGTTATGAAGAATTGTGTCGAGGACTCACTCTCTTTGTCTCTGTATGCGTTTATGTCTATCTGTCAATGTATGCATCTAGCTATTTAGCTGCTATCTGTCGGTCTACCTACCCATCCATCCATCTATTTATCCAACCATCCATCTATCCAGAACTATCTACCTGTCTTTCTTCCTATCTGTCTAGAGATCCGTCTATGTCTGCATCCCTCTCTCTCTCTCTCTCTCTCTCTCTCTCTATATCTATATATCTGTCTACCTGCCTGCCTACCTACCTAACCTACCTACCTGCCTGCCTGCCTACCTACCTACCCCTGCCTGCCTGCCTACCTACCTGCCAACCTACCTGCCTGCCATCTTTCTGAGAACCAAGCTACTTGAAGCCAGCTAGCTGTCTTTCTGTCTTATACTTATCTACCTACAATCAATCTGTCTATGAATCTATCTATCTATCTATCTATGTAGTTATACCCATATTATTGACGTAATTTTCGATTCCTTGGGGAGCCCGCCGATACAATGAATGATTGCTTGCTTGAGTACTTGATTGATGGATCGATCGTTCTTGGTAAGGATGGACGACGTGATTGTTTCGTTGATTAATTCGTTGATTGGTCAGGCCCAGAGTGCAAAGCTGGGATGCAAGCTGTGCTGCCGGTGCCCTAAACCGGAGGGAGCTAAATATTGCCAGGCAGCTTAGCTCACTTGGGGCCCAGGGTTTACGGGGGTTTAAGCTGGGCAGCCATGGGAGCTGAGCACTAGCAAGCGTTTTAGGGTCAATCCCTCGGCTCCAACATCCGGATGGCAGTATTCGTTGCAGCGATGTCTGAAGTTGCTGTGTTCATTGTTAATGCTTGTATTTATCTACGACTCTTGACATGTTTTTGCAGTCTCTGGCAAGGAACAAGACTCGGCCGAAATGGGTGCAGCTGGCATAGGTTTTCGTTTCAGCCACTTGCATCTGTTTCCTTGATGCTCGCTGAGCCAGGCCGACACGCCAATAGCGCCGTGAACCGTTCGGGCAGATGCTTTTAGATGCCTAAATTTGGGCCAGTTTCGCATGCTTCCGATCTTCTGAATCCCTCCAGCGCTGCTGGGGGGCTGTAAATGTCTGGCTCTTTGGCCACGAGAGCCTTCTTCCCTCCTTCTGTTTGGACATAGGGAAACGGACCAGCTCTGCATGTCTCTCCGTGTTGGGAGGGTGTGGACGGCATCCCTGCATGACTTGCATTTTCGGTGCGATCTTGCTCCTGGTTCGGAAGGCTTAGAGGTCCCGCAGAAGCCCAGCAGTTGGCCTGGAGGCGGGATGCGGGGCCCAGCGAGCTTCAGTGCCTGGTGATGTCTCCTGTGCAGGTCCGCCATGGTGAGTTTGCTCCCTCCTGGGAATCCGTTTGTCGCGGGCCGTGTCTTTGATTTCGGCCAAGTCCAGGGTACGCCACGTGCAGCTCCCGCAGGGCAGGTCAGGCATGTGTCCTTGCCGTATGCTCCGCTGGGTGCCCCCACCTATCCCCAGTTCGCGCAGCCGGTCCATGTAGTGGCACCACAAACCATCCCTCCTGGCACGGTGTATTCGCCGGTCGTGACCCACCGGCCGGTGTACGCAGCAGCGACACCGTCACTGCACAGCGCGAGGCCCAGATTTCAATGTGTCTGGGACTTGACCGAAAACCAAACCGTGCAATCCATGTGCTTGAGTCAGGTCATGTGGTGAGTCCCATGTCCAGCCCCATGCTGGGATACCGCCCGGTCGCTGAAACTGCCGGGACCTCATAGGTCGACATGACTCACCCTGTGTATGGCAGCAAGTACTGACTGAGGGAATGCCGCGGGTCCTCGAGGGCATTGGCACGCCAGGAGGCTTCACGCGGCTGCGAAGCCTCAGCCAAGATCGTGTGCGCTTGATGCAGGAGGGGCTTGTTCTCCTGTGTGGATATTATATGTTCATACATACGTATATGTATATATATATATATGTGTATGTATGTATACACATACACATACATGTACAATGTTTGCCTCTCTCTCTCTCTCTCTTTCTCTCTCCTCTATCTCTCTGTGCATTGCACCTCTGTCTCCCTCTGTCTCTGTGCATGTGCTGATGTCGCTTGCATTGCTGTTCACAGTTTCAGCTTGTTAGACCTTTTGCTGCTTTAAGCTGCATGGCATTGGAGATGCCTGCGGCATTCTCTGCCACATTTCAGGCTTCCAACATGTATCGTGTCATGGTCAAGGGATGCCATGAAGATTTAGGGCATCTAGAGCCTGCACCCAGCTAAACGGTAGATCAAAGCCAGTGCGCTGCTGCAAGCCCGAAAGGAAGAACGGCAAGCAAAAAGCTAGACTCTAGCTTCTTCAGTGCGCAAGGTACGGGTCGACGTTTTGGAGAGAACGTCTTCCCCCAAGGCATGGCGCTGTTCTACGAGAGTCTCAAAAAAGTACAGGGAGTGGGGTCCAAAGAAGAACATATTCTCAATCATCATTCACTCGGCGCTAGTTGCGTTTGGGGTGCGTGGGAATGTCTCCGCTGCGTTTGGGGTGCGTGGGAATTTCGGGTGTGTTTCGTGCAGCCTTGCTTCTTGGAAGTTTACTGTTCGGCTAGAACTTTTAGAACTTGTAGAACTTTTAGAACTTTTGGAACTTTTAGAACTGTTAGAACTGTTAGAACTTTTTAGAACTTTTAGAACTTTTAGGACTTTTAGGACTTTTAGAACTTTTAAAACTTTTAGGACTTTTAGAACTTTTAGAACTTTTAGAACTTTTAGAACTTTTAGAACTTTTAGAACTTTTAGGACTTTTAGGACTTTTAGGACTTTTAGAACTTTTGGAACTTTTAGGCTTCATCGGGTCTTC